AGATCATTTTTGTATATATATTTTCCAATATATTTTTCTTGACATATGATATAAGCATTTTGAATTTTAAAATGAAGTATTCTTACAAATGTTCTGCCCCCTCCATTTTCAATAAGAAGACTAAGGGGCTTATAGAGGAAAAATTGAGGGTTCGGTTTCTGTAGTGGGCAAAGGACAAATATTCTATTGTTCAACTATGCGCTTAAAAAAAACTTACCAAGTGATTTCAGATACACTTTGTTCACGAGGAAGCAGTGAAACGACTTAATAACACGTGTTAAAACATTGAATGGAATTTAAAAATTAGTAAAACTTTAATTAAAAATTAGACATCTAGGCAAGCAGTGAAACGACTTAATAACACGTGTTAAAACATTGAATGGAATTTAAAAATTAGTAAAACTTTAATTAAAAATTAGACATCTAGGCAAGCAGTGAAACGACTTAATAACACGTGTTAAAACATTGAATGGAATTTAAAAATTAGTAAAACTTTAATTAAAAATTAGACATCTAGGCAAGCAGTGAAACGACTTAATAACACGTGTTAAAACACTGAATGGAATTTAAAATTAGTTAAACTTTAATTAAAAATTAGACATCTAGGCAAGCAGTGAAACGACTTAATAACACGTGTTAAAATATTGAATGGAATTTAAAAATTAGTAAAACTTTAATTAAAAATTAGACATCTAGGCCTAGCGATTAACGTTCCGGACTGTATATCGAGTGTTCCATGATTTCGTTGGCTCCGGAAAAAACAAAAACAATGCTCTCTCCATTTTGGGGACATGAGTGCGTTATGAGAATGACGGTGAAATGCCATTAATTCATTAGATTAGCCCAAAAGTTGGCGGTGGGTGGTGTTGACTAGCTGCCTTCCCTCTAGGGAAAGCTAGCGCAGATAGCCTTCTAGTATGGCTTTGCGCAAAATTCAACAAACAAACAAACACTGTTGTAAAATATTCCCTTATATTGTATTGCCTTAATGCGCCACCAATATCTTATCAATTAGATAATACATCATGATATGTTTGAAACGTTTATAAGCCACATTTTAGTCGGAGACAAACCGTCAAGACTAACATTCCCAAAACCAAACAGATAGTTTACAATCGGTTTAGCATTATAAAAATAATACGAGCCTGTAAGTTGATAAAAATTAGATATTCTAGTAAATCTTAACCATAAATACGTCCTGTTGTCAACGTTGTCAAAGCTCGCGAAAAACGAATACCCCACAACGAACAGAAGGCGTTGTCAGGGTGATCAAAAAGTATACATTCCACAGTCTCAGCCAGCAATAAAACCTTGAATCCCCTGTCTATATGAGCCTACATACGTCAGTTTTAAACACTACTTCATTAAAATAACATGCTCCATGCTTACGAAGGAGTCGTCGGTATGTCTTTGTACCATCATGGATGAGATGATGTACGATCCGAGGTTTCTCAGGGTCAGCATAGATGACACCTGACCCACTCTAAAAATATCCACAACCTGTTTGCAGACGCTACTGTAACTCTCCGTGTTGGCCAATATGTTTTAAAAGTGTCTGACTTGGAGTTAAGTTTTACTGGACTGTATGTTTTAGTTAATATATGGAATCTTTGATTCGGACTTTTATATAAAAAAAATTTCCTCGCTCCTTACGAGTAATCTGGAATGTTTTTTAGAGTGATAAATTATAAAACAAAACACTTCAGAATATTTTCAAGTACTAGTTAAATTTTCACAGTAATGTTTTAAACACATCGTTCATAGTTTGTAGAAGGTTTCGTTAGTTAATAAAGTAAAGCAAAAAACATGCAAATTTTCATGTTAGTTATTTTGGTCAGTGATTTAAAATATTTGCTTTTTACTATATAGTTAATAAAAAAGGTAACAACTTAAGCTGCTGACAATTTCAATAGTTCTATTCAAGTTATTTTGGTTTTAAAAGGAGCCATTTTTCATACAGTCTAAGCCTCGTTGTCTGCATGATATATGATTTAATATTCAGTCAACCAATTATATTCAACTTTCTACCACTATGTCCACTGATTAAATATATAAGCCACCTGTCAACATAAATTCCAGTCTTAAGGTCATGAGAAAAGTATAACAAACATCACGTGGGCCTAACAAAAAGTCCTCTGTATTTGACGGATACATAGGCAGTCCCTCTTCCTGCACGCGGAAAAGCGAACGATACAGACATTTTAGTGAATAAAGCACAGAACAAGCAGATAAATCTTAAATGATCTTGGAAATAAATAAATATGTTGCCAATAGGCAAAGTTTGCTCACATAAAGGAATTTTCTTAATTATGTGTCCGTAATTACAATATATTATAAACATACACAAATATTAATCAAATACGGGTCACTGTATTGAAGGGTTTGTTTGTTTCTTGTTAAAAACAAAACTACACATTGGGCTATCTGTGCTCTTCCCACCACGGATATCGAAACCCGAATTCTAGCGTTGTAAGTCCGCAGACATGTACCACTGGGTGGGGTGGGGGTGGGAGCATGTGAAAGGGAGCCAGTGTAGTAATTAAATATATATATATATAAATTAATAGAAAAATACTGTGTTATTTCAGTAGGTGTCAATAGGTCAACAACATAAATCAAAAATAAAAGAAAACGTGTTTCTTAAGGTAATGTGTAAATAAATGCAAGAAAGTGTGTATTATTAAAAAAGTGTGTAAATAGATGCAAGGAATTGTGTATTAATAAAAAAGTAGGTAAAAACGGTGTAAGAAATAATGTATTCATGAAACGTTTGTAAATAAATAGACGGAAATGTGTGCTATTAAAAATTTATAAATAGATGCAAGAAATTGTGTATTAATGAAAAGTGTGCAAAAAAGATGTAAAAAAAAGTGTATAAAAAGATGTATAAAAGTGTGTATTAATGAAACAATGTGCAAATAGATACAAGAAATTATTTATTATCCAAAAAAAAGTGGGAATAAAGCAAGATAGCTTAGTAGAGATTCATAAACCAAAAGTAAACTTGTGTATTAGTCAAATACCGAACGATGAAAAGAATTTTTATATCTCGTACTAGTCAACAGACGATAGGGAACTTGTGTGAACTAATAGATACCGTTCATTGGAAGGTAAACAATGCACTGTGAAAGTAACTGAATACGAACTGTTTCAGTTACAGGCTTGGTACGGAGTGGATTTATATCTCGCACTAGTCAACAAACGATAGGGAACTTGTGTGAACTAATGGATATCATTCATGGGAAGGTAAACAATGCACTGTGAAAGTAACTGAATACGAACTGTTTCAGTTACAGGCTTGGTACGGAGTGAATTTATATCTCGCACTAGTCAACAAACGATAGGGAACTTGTGTGAACTGATGGATACCATTCTTGGGAAGGTAAACAATGCACTGTGAAAGTAACTGAATACGAACTGTTTCAGTTACAGGCTTGGTACGGAGTGAATTTATATCTCGTACTAGTCTTCGCGGTATAATCGTCAGCAAGTCCCGATGAAACGGAATGTATCAGAACTACATTTTGACATCGGTTGACGTTATGTGATATTAGAACTAAGAAACACGTTATGCTAGTATAATAACAAACTGGCAGACAACGATATATAAGCATAATGACATGGTTACTTTTGGAAGGAAGATACTACTTGAACTACTGGCTCTGATAAAGCCGCAGTGGCGAAACTTGGCTGAGATAAAAAGGTTTTCTGGAGGGTAAAGGTGGTTATGTATCTCATTTTATTGCTAAAATATCTCATAAAGTTAATGATGATACCCACATCAGTAATACACTAGCTTCATGTAAGTCAAAATCTTCTAGAGATTTGTTAGAACAGTACACAGCTCTAGAGAATATATTGTTGGGAGCGTAAGATAAGATTATGTTTGGTAGAATAAAGTTGGTATATTCTGGTTAGAATAACACACATCATTCTCTGGGTTTAATAGAACACACATCATTCTTTGGTTGTAATAGAACACACCATACTCTGGTTAGAATAACACACATCATTCTCTGGGTTTAATAGAACACACATCATTCTCTGGGTTTAATAGAACATACCATACTCTGGTTAGAATAACACACATCATTCTCTGGGTTTAATAGAACACACATCATTCTCTGGGTTTAATAGAACATACCATACTCTGGTTAGAATAACACACACCATTCTTTGGGTGTAATAGAACACACCATACTCTGATTAGAATAACATACACCATTCTCTGGGTTTAATAGAACACACATCATTCTTTGGTTTGTGTTATTCTAACCAGAGTATGGTGTGTTCTATTACCCATTCTCTGGGTTTAATAGAACACACCATACTCTGGTTAGAATAACACACATCATTCTCTGGGTTTAATAGAACATACCATACTCTGGTTAGAATAACACACACCATTCTCTGGGTTTAATAGAACACACCATACTCTGGTTAGAATAACACACACCATTCTCTGGGTTTAATAGAACACACCATACTCTGGTTAGAATAACACACATAATTCTCTGGGTGTAATAGAACACACATCATTCTTTGGTTGTAATAGAACACACCATACTCTGGTTAGAATAACACACATCATTCTCTGGGTTTAATAGAACACACCATACTCTGGTTAGAATAACACACACCATTCTCTGGGTTTAATAGAACATACCATACTCTGGTTAGAATAACACACATCATTCTCTGGGTGTAATAGAACACACCATACTCTGGTTAGAATAACACACACCGTTTTCTGGGTGTAATAGAACACACCACACTCTTGGTGTAATAATACACATTATTGTAAGGGTACGACAATACGCAATATTACTACGTCTTCAGTGTTTTATTTTCAGTACATAACTAGCTTGTGACAGTTATAGATATGTATATACAAACCTACATCATAGATTATACGAAACGTTTTATAATATGTATATGTGTATATATATATATGTGTGTAAATATTCACACTTTCACTTCCATATTTGAATATTTTCCAGAAATGTGCTGATCACACGGTATCCGATAAAACGTTCTACAAGACTTTTGCACGAACATTTTCTACCGATAATCAAGTAAGTCAAGAGCCTTTTCAAACAAACTAGTAAGTATCATAAGGAAATATAAATAGTAAAACCCTAACCTTGATCATCTATCTTCGTGTCTAACAGATACAAAAGTTGATAATGTTTCAAGTGTTTTACGTAACAAGCAAACACATTCTGCTCCATTCTGAGCACTTACAGTGAATACAAATGTTGATGTTATTTTCTCAGTGCTCAATGGGCTATCTGCTCTCTGTTCCCCACGAGTAATCGAACGCCAAATTTTTGACAATGTAAGTCCATAAACTTAGCCCGCTTAACAACCGGGGGACAAATATATCTATGGATAACTGGATAAAAGGTGAAAAGACGACCATGTGCCTTTTAAAAGTTGTTGTTGTTTGTTATTAAGCACAGAGCTAACAAAAAGGGCTGTCTGTACTCTGTCCACCACGGGTATCGAAACCCGGTTTCTCGTAGTATAAGTCTGCATACATACTACTGTGCCACTGGGGGGGGGGGCTATTAAAAGTTAGTCTAAAGTCGAGATTATATGAACATGCAGTGTACTTAGTTTGAGAGTAGATCATATTAAAAATATCAATAATCTTTCGATTCTGTATCATCATTTATCAATCTAATTGATTGTATATTTCTCGAAGTGTCTTTAAGCTGCTTCAGTGTAAAAAATATGATTTATTAAAGCTTATAAAAGTCTGAAAATTAGAATACCTTTATTTCGGTCTGACCCTCCTTTTCTATCGTTTTCATAATTTCTCTAAAATTTTGAATTATGACACTAAGAGAATGTTATGCACGCGAGCCTTGTGCTTTGTTTCCTACTTGAATATTATTGTTTGTAAATTTCTTTGAAATAAAACTCGTCTTTAACTTGCTAGAGATATTTTCACATGTGTCCGACAAAAGAAATATTGTAACTATTTATAAGCCAAAATATCATATTGATAATTTAGAAAATTTAGAGCATTATAAACACATTGTAGTGCTTTAAACAGTAAAACAATAACATTCCAAAAGATGTCACTGGTTAAAATTATGCTGTAAAAACTGTATGACTATCTAATTTACAACAGTATTTTGTCGGCCAGGTGGTTAGGGGGCACTCGATTCGCAATCTGAGGGTCGCGGGTTCGAATCCCCCGTCACACCAAACATTCTCGCCCTTTCAGCTGTGGGGGCGTTATAATGTGACGGTTAATCCCACTATTCGTTGGTAAAAGAGTAGCCCAAGAAATGGCGGTGGGTGGTGATCATTAGCTGTCTTCCCTCTAGTCTTACACTGGTAAGTTAGGGACGGCTAACGCAGATAGCCCTCGTGTAGCCTTGCGCGAAATTCAAAACAAACAAACAAGATATTTTCACCAAGGTGTTTGTCATCATCAGAAAATTTGTCTCCATGAAAAGTGGTGTTCTTTTTGGAATTGTGTGAGCTTTTAGTTTGTGACATGTCTTTTGTAGTAAGGTTAGACGTTTTAACTTTTATTGTTAGTTAACTTTATGTTACTCACTGCTTTTCCTTATGATATCATTAGTGAGTTTCTCCATTATTCTGCAAGTCGTAGTTACCGCTTAAAGATAATATGTTCTCTATCTACGATCTACTGTTGGCTAGCATTAACGATGAATCGAATCCTGGATTTTAGTGCAGTAAGTCTGTAACCTTACCCCTGATCAACCGGGGATCTTTTGGTTAGTAGACGACACTGGTTTTTCATCTTATGCTCAGTTACAAAACCTAATCATCCGCATAGTTTTACTTCATAATAAAACTTTAACAAATGATTAGCATTCATCTTCACTCTGAAAAAAAAGGTGTGATTTCACACTTTGGAGGTGCGTGGAAGAACTGATACAGGAACTACATGTAATATTACTATTTTTACGTAGCCATACTTTTTATACAAGTAAGATTAACTGTAAGTACATACGTTTTAAAACGTTATTGTCTTCTGAAAGTATATAGTCATCATAAACTTATATTAATATAAGTAATTTTGTTAATAGTTATTATCTGATGTAATTTTCACTTAAGTGACTATCGATTATATTTATATATTCACACCATTAAATATACAGCAGGAGTGTGAACTTTTATTTGGACCTATGAAAGTGTGAATTCTCACCTTCTCAATACCAGGGGTTGTGTATTGGAGTCTTACACCATTAAATATACAGCAGGAGTGTGAACTTTTATTTAGACCTATCAAAGTGTGAATTCTCACCTTCTCAATACCAGGGGTTGTGTATTGGAGTCTTACATCTTTACATGTACAGCAGGAGTGTGAACGTTTATTTGGACCTATGAAAGTGTGAATTCTCACCTTATGAATACCAGGGGTTGTGTATTGGAGTCTTACACCTTTACATATACACAGCAGGAGTGTGAACGTTAAAAGTGTGAATGCCCACCTTCTCAATACCAGGGGGAAGGGGTGTATTGGAGTCTTACATCTTTACATGTACAGCAGGAGTGTGAACGTTTATTTGGACCTATGAAAGTGTGAATTCTCACCTTCTCAATACCAGGGGTTGTGTATTGGAGTCTTACATCTTTACATGTACAGCAGGAGTGTGAAGGTTAAAAGTGTGAATGTCCACCTTCTCAATACCAGGGGGGAAGGGGTGTATTGGAGTCACCCCCCCCCCCCGATTTCACACGATTGCTTACTTATAGTGTTATAAAAAATGTTTAAAAAGCGTTTAGATACTCGAGATTTAGGATGTTTACATTTTTCTGTCTACCAATTAGGTAGACACCTCTGTAAATAATGTAAAATACACCTCTGTAAATAATGATTCTTTTACTTTTAATTATATATTACACCAATTTTACTTTCAAACTGTTTCCCATTCAGATTTATCCCCTTACTGTATCATTTTGTAATTAAAACTACTTAAAGTTGTGACGTGCGCTATCAGTTTTAGGCTTAACCTAATTTAGGCTTAACAATCTCGTTTAAAGACAAGTTCAGGATCTGAGCTATTTTAACTTTGGTTACATTTCTTAACCCGCAGTTCTTGTCCAAATGTTTAGCACATTTCTTTCAATTCCTTCTCTGTCGGTCTAGTGCCATATTTAATGTTAGAAACATCATTTCAACAAAACAGTTAATTAAATTAAAGTAAAGGTGAGTCATAAACTTTATGTTGCGACTAAAAGACTCTAATAATATCATAAGTTTCTAATTGTACTAATAAGATATACAGATTTAACAGGTATGTTACCGTTAAACTTCTTGTTGGTTTGGTTTCTTTTCAATTTCGCGCAAAGCTACACGAGCGCTATCTGCGCTAGCCGTCACTAATTTAGCAGTGTAAGACTAGAGGAAACGGAGTTACTTACCACCACCCACTACCAACTCTGGGGCTACTTTTACCAACGAATAGTGGAATTGACCGTTACTTTCTTGTATATGAGGGATGACAACCCGTCGTTCAAACCTATTGAAACATAATACTTAAGTTCTATGACTGGTTTCTTACAATTAAAGTAGAAAATATACTATGTCCTTATTGATTTATCTAAAATGTTGCACTAAAGCGTCACATTTCGTAGAAAATATTCCAAGAAGAATATTGGATTACTGATGGTCTATTTTAATCCTTTTCATACCTAGCTCGATACCGAAAGGTTTCTGCTTGTTAATTATTCCAGACTAATGAATACCAAGAGTAAACGATTTCGAGAAAGAAAATGATTCCTCATCTTTCATTTTCAAAAGAGAAAATAATCATTAGCAAACGTTTGTTATTTACAGTAGAAGACCAAGTCACCGGTGTTTGTTTTTGTTTTTATGTATTGACAGATGGCAGCACTGTGATACAACCTCATCTTCTTTTTTTTTTATTCAAATGGTAAATATAACCACAAAACACGTGTTTTCCACCAAAAGATGTAACTATGTTTGTAAATCTGTTCAAAAAATTTATAATGACATAAGAACCTTAATGTTTGGCCATTTTTGAAAAATAATCGCCGTGAAAGTAAGATTTTACGGTCAAGTAGCTTAGTGTACTGTGCTTATCTCGGATATCGAAACCAAAGTTTAGCGCTATTAGTATTCAGACTCACCGTTGAGCAAGTTGGGGGGTGTCGGTGTGCACCCTTGTGTAATTTATTCCTAATAGAATAAAATTCGCTATTCCGACATATTTTCCTATGTTTTCCGTACTCTGTAGTATTGCCTATATTTGAAGATGAAATTAATTATGAGATATAATAAAAAAAAGTTTGTGCCACAATAAACTGCTAAACAGATTGTTATTTTTTCATAGGTTGCGATTAAATCTTTTAACTTAATGCTAATGTGGAGTATGTGTTTTACCATAACAATAATTTGGAGCATATATGTTAAAATAACAATAATTTGGAATATACATATTACTATACAATAATTTGGAATATACATATTACATTACAATAATTTGGAGTATGCATGTTACCATGAAAATAATTTGGAGTATACATGTTACCATGACAATAATTTGGAATATATATATTACTATAACAATAATTTGGAATATACATATTACGTTACAATAATTTGGAATATACATATTACCATAACAATAACTTGGAATATACATATTACCATAACAATAATTTGGAATATACATATTACATTACAATAATTTGGAGTATGCATGTTACCACAAAAATAATTTGGAGTATACATGTTACCATGACAATAATTTGGAATATACATATCAAATTACAATAATTTGGAGTATACATGTTACATTACAATAATTTGGAGTATGCATGTTACCACAAAAATAATTTGGAATATACATGTTACCATGACAATAATTTGAAGTATGCGTGGTACCATAGCATTAATTTAGTATAAGTATATTACTACAACACTAATTTGAAACATGTGCGCTACATCACACAAATTTCAAATATATGTATTACCATAACGCTAACTTGAAGTACGTGTGTTACCATAACACTAACTTGAAGTACGTGTGTTACCATAACACTAACTGGGGCTATTTGTATTACCATACACTAACTTGGAGTGTGTATGTTACCATAACACTAACTTGGAGTGTGTGTATTACCATAACACTAACTTGGAGTGTGTATGTTACCATAACACTAACTTGGAGTGTGTGTATTACCATAACACTAACTGGGGCTATGTGTATTAACATACACTAACTTGGAGTGTGTATGTTACCATAACACTAACTTGGAGTGTGTGTATTACCATAACACTCATTTGGAGTATATGTAACATGTTGTAGGTGGTGCGCTCAGTTATTGCTCTCCTCACCTACTACAAGTGGAGAAAATTTTCCATCATCACTGAAGATGAACCCAGGTTTTTACGAGTTTCGGAAAAACTTGAAGATCAAGCCAAACGGAGCAACATGGTAATTAACACGAAGAGCACATTCCGACGCCATGACATTTGTTGTGAAGAAAAACTCCCCTGCTGTAAAAAACCATTTATGAAGATAGTTAAAAACACATATAGTAAAACAAGAGGTAAATGTCACATTGAAATACTGGAGTCTAATTTTTTATGAAGTTTAATTGTAATCAAAATTGATCTCCCATGTTACGAGTTTGAGTGCAAAGTGTTGTAGACATATATTAAAAACTTGTCATATTGGTTTGATTTGTCTTAACAATATAAATTTAAAACTTGTTGATATTATTTTAACATAATATTAACTTCTTAAACACCTGGGCCCGACATGGCCAGGTAGTTAGGGAGCTCGACTCGCAATCTGCGGGTCGCGGGTTCGAATCCCCGTCCCACCAAACATGTTCGCCCTTTTCTGCCATGGGGGCGTTATAATGTGACGGTCAATCCCACTGTTCGTAGGTAAAATAGTAGCCCAAGAGTTGGCGGTGTGTGGTGATGACTAGCTGCTAAATTAGGGACGGTTAGCGCAGATTACTCTCGTGTAGCTTTGCGTGAAATTCAAAAACAAACTAACTAACTAAACACGTGTATCGATGTTCGATTTACAGATAACGGTGTTCTAGTTTAGATTTAACTGGATTAGGAAACTTGTAGGAAATTAACAGCTCCTGACGAAGCTGTAACAGCGAAATATTGAGCTATTAAAGTTACATCCTGGAGATATTGGTCGTAATTGTATTTACGTTTATAGAAAACTATTGTTTACTAGAACTAAAAGATCTCTGAAGTTGTTTTTTTTTCTTTTTTTCCGAAATGAATGACTTTGATGGGTAATAAAATCTATGTCCCCCTGAAGAATAATAGAGAACGAAATAACACAAAATGTTGTTTTAAAATAGAAGATAAATAAACGATATCTAGTCAAATAATCTCAAAATAAAGTTTAGTTTCGATATTACGGACAAACACCAAAGTTATACGAGTTCCACTACTTTTACGTGTCTTCTTCAATCGCATGTTTCTTTGTGTTGAAGCCGTTACAGACAAGATATTTAGAATGCGTGTGTTTGAATTTATTTTAGGCTTAAGACTTTAGTGACCCTGTTTGTAGATTTTAGTAAAGATTTCATCAACACGATGGCACATCTGATTACCTGACTAAACTTGATAAACGACAGTTGGGTGTTTTTGGTTTGTTTTGAATTTCGCGCAAAGCTACACGAGGGCTTTCTGCGCTAGACGTCCCTAATTTTGTAGTTATAGACTAAAGAGAAGGCGGTTGGTCCTCGCCACTCTCCGCAAACTCTTAGGGTGCTCTTTTAACAACGAATAGTGGGATTGACCGTCACATTATAACGCCCCCTCGGCTGAAAGGGCGAGCATGTCTGGTGGCAAAATTGCGAGTCGAACGCCCGATAACCACCTGGCCATGCCAAGCGTTCAATAGATGGAATGAAACATGAAAGTGCCGAAACTCGTCTCCATAAAGAAACTATAGTGAATATAAAGTTTATGTGTGTTGTTTTTCTTATTAGGAAACATGTAATAATGATATTTTTCTCAGATATTTTCATTTTATCTAGTATACGTCGTTTTCGGAATTATGAAGTACTTAAGGGAATTGTTGATACTGATGCGAATGCTGAGGCTCTTTGATGAGGAATATATTGTTATATATGTTCATTTGGAGTGGCATAAACCATCCCAATCCCATACATATTTCTACAGTAAGTATTTTCTGATCTCACTCCCAAAGTTTTCAACTTTTAAATTAGCTTTGAAAAAAAAAAAAAAGATAGAAATACTTCGAAAAAACTGATTCGAGAATAGTAAATTAATTAAAGTGTGAATTACTATTATCTAATCTAAGCCTTAAAGTGTGAATTACTATTATCTAATCTAAGCCTTAAAGTGTGAATTACTATTATCTAATCTAAGCCTTATTTTGTGGTTGATCTAGATAGGCGAAACGGGCTCCGTCAACTTCTTTGAATTTATGTTGTTGTTTTTTAAAGAGGTTTTTCGACCTGCCTGAGCAGATGGCGAAGACGGAAACTGTCTTCAAACGAACTGAAATCTTTTGGTCAAGCCTATTGACCTCTTAAAGACGAATTCTATTATGCTATTGGTAAATACGTTGCAATAACTAAGACTCACCAATATTCGTATATCAGTCTCTTTCAGATTCTGTTTTATTAAATAAATAATAGCGTTTCAAGAGTGTCGAGTGGTGGATGCTAATTTTTTATATATTTTTTTCCTCACGATTAGATCCAGTCGAGGTGAATAACGTTTTAAGCGCCACCATGGAAGCAGCTAGATCACTTTTAGTCATAGTGCCCTCGCCAGTAACAGAAGAAGGTTATGAAGACTTCCACGATGAAGTTCGAAAGTATAACCAGCTTCCACCGTTTAGCCTCCCAAGTCTTAATACACTTAAGAAGTTTAAGAAAGTTAGTACCAAATTTACTTTCCTCAAATAATTCACACTAAAGTTTTGTTAGAAACAAGTTCTAAGATTTATGGGTAATATAACAAACGATAATCGTTTTATTGCTCTTTTTTTTAATCCATATAAATTTATGAATGTTCGAGTATGTACTGTTTTGGATCTATAGATCCCAGCCATGGCACTTGGATCCACTTCTCCCCACCAGGCCCTGTAAAGGCCCGTTTGCTTTAGTTTGTTTCGATAAATTGTCAACAATGGCTGCCGACTTGGTCCTTCTTCAAGATCAACCGGCCTCTGCTACGCCTGTATATATATATATCTATTTTTTTTAGTTATTTATTTTTTCGTTCATTTTATTTATTTATTTATTATTAATTTTCCATTTATTTATTTTTCTATTTATTTGCCCATATGGCTCATTAAAACGCTGACCACTCATTGAACTTTAACCTCTATCCTCGAGCAGGGTGAAGGAGGATTGATAATCGTCGAGCACCCCTGATTATTAATTATTTCTTTTGAAATAATTAAGTTTAAATGAAAATAAGAGCCAGAAATATGTGTATGTACTGTTTTTGTTTTGTTTCTGTTTAAGCTAAAAAATTACGTGTCTCCCGTTGGGACAGCGGTAAGTCTTCAGATTTATATAACGACAATCAGGGGTTCGATTTCCCTCGGTGGACACAGTAGATAGTCGGATGTGGCTTTGCTGTTTGTTATATTGCCCATGTTTTATTCTCAAGTTCAAATACTTTTTTTTTTTCGAAAATTTACTTCATCAGCATTCATATACGTTAATGAATGATCGAGTATGTACTGTTTTTGTTTTGTTTCTGTTTAAGTTCCAAAGTTATTTCACATGAACATTAAAATAAAAATATCAACTTGCAACGCTTTGAAATCCACGAATAACAATTAACCAAAACATCTTTTTCTCATTTTAGCAAATTACAGAGTACGCGGCCTTACTTTACGACGCTGTTTTTCTTTACGCTGAAGCACTTTCAGAAGTGCTAAAAGAAAACATGGATCCCAGAAATGGAACACTTATTATTCAAAAAATCATCGCCAGAGGACAGTATCGAAGTAAGTTCCTGAACCTTTAAAGTCCGAATGTTTAGATTGTTGGGTTAAATTTATTTTAGACTTGATATGGTAACGATCTTATTTATAATGTATATGATCTTTATACAGGTTTCATCAATACGAGAGCGCATTAAAATATCGGACTGACCATGATAAAAACTCCATATTTGTACGTATACTAATTTCACGTTACTTTTGTTGCGTTTTGAACAAGAAGTAAACCTTTCTTCATAATTAATTCGTAATCGTTCCTCGATAGTGATTAATGTAAGTATAATTATTGCCACTTTTGTTTATCTGTTGCACCAAAATATCTCTTGGACAAACTACTTTGACAATATAAAAAACAAAGTTAAAAATATAGGTATATTACTTAAGACTAAGTGATATTAGATTTATTGAAATTAGTGTGATTTTATAACTTAGCATTTTAACTGTGTCTAGGCCCGTGTGTTCGAATTGCGGGCTCGAATCCTATCAGCCGAGGTAAGAGACATTATAATGTGATGGTCAATCCCACTGTTCGTTGATAAAGAGTAGCCCAAGAGTTGGCGGTGGGTGATGCTGACCAGCTGCCTTCCCTCTAGTCTATCGTTTCAAAATTATGAGTCCCTCGTTGGGACAGCGGTGAGTCTTCAGATTTACAATGCTAAAATCAGGAGTTCGATTCCCCTCGGTGGACACAGCAGACAGCCGGATGTGGCTTTGCTATAAGGAAACACACACACACTCAAAATTAGGGGCGTCTAATGTAGTATCAATACTCTCAGTCTATCAACGACTATTTATTTATTTTTATTGTTCTGAAAAAGGTCATTAATAAAACTTGGATCTTCTAATTATGTATATTCTTCTTTGAAATGAAAGTAACTACTTCAAAACATAAAAATATTTTCAAATGTGGTTACTTTATAAGTCCAAATTTCGCTTCATTACAATTAATGTTTCATCTACGTTAAAAAGTAATCACACATTTTTCAGATGTATTTTACAGTAATATTGTACGACAATATATAGATGCACATTGAAAACGTCACAGTGACTATATGTAATATTATTTCTACAACAAGCTCACCAGTTTTCTTAAAAACGGTAATCGTACAAATCAAACCCAAAATAATAAAAGCGGGACCATCTGCAATGTTCCTAAACTTTAAAATAATACGCACTGATTCTGTATCAGCAATCTGTATCAGATTCTTTATCTGTACGTAAATGTGAAAACTTCCTCTTTAGGTATAACAGGACAGATTATGCATATTGACGAAAATGGTGACGTAGAAGGAAATTACACCGTATTGGCGCTACAGCCTAAACCTAGAAATCTCAAACTAAAAGTATTTTACGGAACTGATCCAGAAATACCATACACCATGCTACCCGTTGGTATGTTTTTCTCCGATCCCGACAACAAAGACAAAAGGGTAAGTTTTCCACCACGGTGTTTCTGATCATTTGATTGGTCAATTCTATTTTGAAGTATCGATTGTCGAACCGTTTAGAAATATCGAATCGTTGCCACAGTCTTAATATTAATATGCTATTACTTTACGGTGTTATTGTTTATTGTATCATTTCTCGTTACTTTTGTTTCTAAATGTTCCTATTTACTTTAAGGTGTTATTGTTTATTGTATCATTTCTCATTACTTTTTTCTAAATGTTCCTATTCACTTTACGGTGTTATAGTTTATTGTATCATTTCTCGTTACTTTTTTTCTAAGTGTTCCTATTTACTTTACGGTGTTATTGTTTATTGTATCATTTCTCGTTACTTTTTCTCTAAATGTTCCTATTTACTTTAAGGTGTTATTGTTTATTGTATCATATCTCGTTACTTTTTTTTTCTAAATGTTCCTATTTACTTTACGGTGTTGTTGTTTATTGTATCATTTCTCGTTACCTTTTTTTCTAAATGTTCATATTTACTTTACGGTGTTATTGTTTATTGTATCATTTCTCGTTACTTTTATTTTCTAAATGTTCCTATAAACTTTAAGGTGTTATTGTTTATTGTATCATTTCTCGTTACTTTTTTATCATTCGTATCTTAACATGACATTATGTTTCAATAGTTCTACATTATTTAATCTGTGTAATATTCGGATTGTCTTAGGGTTGTCTAAATACAATGGTAACGATGTATATACCTGTTTTAAAAGTCGTGTAGTCATATTTATTCATGTTTTAAACAATAACACTTAAAGAAAATCATAAAAAAGTTACTTTGAAAATTGAAGATTGTTTTTATTCTTTGTTCTATGGTTTTAGGGTTTGTAAAAAAAAAATATTTCAATTAAATTATCCTTCAAGTTTAGTCTCGGAAATATTTCACGTTTGCATCGTTCTGATTTTTTCTTTTAAACTGAATGTAAAAAAATATATTAAATTAAAAAAAAACAGTGAAAAATATTTTCTGGATTAGATTTTCCAGCCCAATGAGAGCTGCCATATTCCATGGGTGAAAGGCAGAGTACCACTTGACGAGCCACCTTGTGGATATGATGGAAGTGGTTGTAAACCGCCACCTGGTAGGCAAATCAAAAAACGTTTTCTCAAAATAAATGATAATTGAAGTAAAAAACTATTTTGGGAGAAGTTGTGATAAAAATTTACAGTATAATCAATTATATTTGTCATAAGGTTCATTGCAGTTTGTTTAATAGTTTGCCGACGGCGCGTTTCACCCAGTACCAGAGCTCATCAGGCTAGCTAGAATACAACAAACATAGTAGTGGTCGGAACGCTACTTATATAAGACATTTGTTCACAACCCAAACAATCTCTAGAGTATTTTTGATGCTTCAATAATTGCTAAGAACGAATATATCTAACTACAATTTTATATGTCATTCATGTTTAAGTACAAAACTGTGCAAGGTACTAACTGCGCTGTTTCCACCAAATGAATCAATCCCCAAATTTTAGTGTTATAAATCTTTAAAATTATCGCTGGGCTATCAGAGGAAGAGCTAATATTAATAAACTTAGAAATATTTTCAGTTTTAGAGAACATGTTATGGAAATGAACTTAGAAGGGGCAAAAAAAAAATTGATTACGAAAGATACACGTGAAAAGTGCGATCCACAATAATTAATTTATTATGTTTGTTTGTTTGTTTTTTACAACAGGATGAAAAGAAATTGCATTATTTGAAGGCAGTGATATTGCTCAAAAAATAATCCATAATCGTACGTTCGTAGTTTGCCATCTAATTCAGTCAATTTTGTGAAAACGAGCGAACTCAGTAAATCTTAACTTAATAACCCGGCATGGAACAGGTGGTTAGGGCGCCCGACTCGCAATTTGAAGGTCGTGAGTTCGAATCCCCGTCCCACTAAACATGCTCGCCCTTTCAGCCTGTCAATCCCACTATTTGTTGGTAAAAGAGTCGCCCAAGAGTTGGCGGTGGGTGGTGATGACTAGCTGCCTTCTCTCTAGTCTTTCACTGCTAAATTAGGGACGGCTTGCGCAGATAGCCTTCGTGTAGCTTTGCGCGAATTTCAAAAACAAACTTAACTTAATGCTTTAAAGCGGGTGTTACGCTAGACGGAACCCTAAAATTTCTTTAGAGCGATCTCGAACTAAAACAGAAATGAACGATCGAATACATTTTAAAATTCGATTGAATAAAATCTAGCGATGTTGGAAAAGACGGTTTAATTTGTTGCAAGGTGTCGATTGTCGTTTTCAAACTTCAAAACTCGGAAAATTACCGATATCATCTTTTGACTTAAACAGGGTCGTGCGTGGCTTAATGGATAGTAGCCGGACTGTAAATCTGAGGGTTCTTGGCTCGTGTCTCGTTGCTGCAAAATAATGTGGTTTCTTTATAAGACTGACGATCACATTTCATTATTCTATTAGACTTGCCCCCAGTGACACAGCGGTATGTCTGCGGACTTACAACGCTAGAAACCGGCTTTCGATACCCGTGGTGGGCAGAGCAAAGATAGCCCTTTGTGTAGCTTTGTGCTTAATAACAAACAAACAAAAAAAAACTAATTAGACTAACCCAAAAGTTAGGCTGTGAGTACTATTGATTAGCGCCTTCCATCTAATCTACCACTTCAAAATCAGAAATAGCTAGCCCTATTAGGGTAGCCCAAAAATTGGCAGTTGGTGGTACTGCCGAAATGCCCTTCTCACTACAGTATATCAGTTGAAAATCAGGGATAGCTAGTCCTATTAGGGTAGCCCAAAAATTGGCAGTTGGTGATACTGCCGAAATGCCCTTCTCGCTACAGTATATCAGTTGAAAATCAGGGATAGCTAGCCTTATTAGGGTAGCCCAAAAACTGGCAGTTGGTGATACTGCCGAAATGCCCTTCTCACTACAGTATATCAGTTGAAAATCAGGGATAGTTAGCCCTATTAGGGTAGCCCAAAAATTGGCAGTTGGTGATACTGCCGAAATGCTCTTCTTACTACAGTATATCAGTTGAAAATTAGGGACGGGAAGAGCAGTTTGCGCGTGTTTCCGAAACAAGCAAACTTACCTAAACGCCTTAATTTTAATAATGGTATGAAACGTGTATTATTCATAAAACATCTATATGTAACATCCTAGTAAACATCTATATGTAACATCCTAGTAAACATCTATATGTAACATCCTAGTAAACATATATATGTAACATCCTAGTAAAAATATATATGTAACATCCTAGTAAAAATATATATGTAACATCCTAGTAAAAATATATATGTAATATCCTAGTAAACATCTATATGTAACATCCTAGTAAACATCTTTATGTAACATCCTAGCAAACATATATATGTAACATCCTAGTAAACATATATATGTAACATCCTAGTAAAAATATATATGTAATATCCTAGTAAACATCTATATGTAACATCCTAGCAAACATCTATATGTAACATCCTAGTAAACATCTATATGTAATATCCTAGTAAACATCTATATGTAACATCCTAGTAAACATCTTTATGTAACATCCTTGCGTCTTATTCTTATGAGCAACATAAAATAAGATATTGAAAGAGTCTAAAAAAGCCCTTACACGGTAACACTGAAATCAAAGCATCTCTATAGAAAATACATTTCAGCTGGATGTCACGTGATTTGTCTAATGACAACTGTAGTAATTAAAGTAATTACATTCACCTAATTACAACTGTAGTAATTAAAGTAATTACATTCACCTAATGACAACTGTAGTAATTAAAGTAATTACATTCACCTAATGACAACTGTAGTAATTAAAGTAATTACATTCACCTAATGACAACTGTAGTAATTAAAGTAATTACATTCACCTAATGACAACTGTAGTAATTAAAGTAATTACATTCACCTAATGACAACTGTAGTAATTAAAGTAATTACATTCACCTAATGACAACCGTAGTAATTAAAGTAATTACATTCACCTAATGACAACTGTATTAATTAAAGTAATTACGTTCACCTAATGACAACTGTAGTTATTAAAGTAATTACATTCACCTAATGACAACTGTAGTAATTAAAGTAATTACATTCACCTACAAACTTGTAGCAGGATATATTTTTAGAACTCATCAACTACTGATTAACCCTCGAATTACAGATGTAGGTTTATATGGACCCCAAGGGCTTTTTTAACACATCTTTCCAAGCTATTTATGTGCCAAGCAGCTAGTGAATCTGTTACTTTGATGGACAGGGTCCCTAATAATATATGAGTTATAAAAAATGCAAACAAGAATATTGTAAATATTAATCCAACTAATTCCTTCTGAATACTTTACATAGAAATGGGTGATGTTTAGGTCGGTTCCTCACACTGAGTATTGTAATAGGAAACAGTTATTCAAAGCCATGTTGCAGTGATTCTACTGTACCAAATAGTTGGTTATTTGTGAGTTGAATGACTGGTTGGTTGATGTTATTAAACATAAATCTCCCCCTGTATATTTAGCGTTATAAGTCTCCAACATACCTATGAGCTACATGGGGGACGGGGGTGTGTTTGAGAGTTTTATGTAATTACTTACATACTTACGACGATACTTTTATGTAATTACTTACATACTTACGACGATACTTTTATGTAATTACTTACATACTTACGACGATACTTTTATGTAATTACTTACATACTTACGACGATACTTTTATGTAATTACTTACATACTTACGAACGATTCTGTCATTTAATTACTTACATACTTACGATGATACTTTTATGTAATTACTTACATACTTACGACGATACTTTTATGTAATTACTTACATACTTACGACGATACTTTTATGTAATTACTTACATACTTACGACGATACTTTTATGTAATTACTTACATACTTACGGCAGTTCTGTCATTTAATTACTTACATACTTACGACGATTTTGTCATTTAATTACTTACAATTTCATATTCTTCATTCTTCTTTTACTAAAAATACAGATATTTATATAATATGTGAAAAACTGTAAAGAAAATTCTATCAGTCATTCTAGAAAAAGACTGATTTAAGTTGTTTTAATGATTTAGAATTTATAAATCCTGCAGACTATTACTGAACAAACTTTATTGTTTATGTTATAAATAAAATGGACAGTTGGTCTCACAAACATATAGACACTGACGTAATATATGATACCATTAATAAGAAAGCAAAGGCTAAGCCTATCATGTAATCAATGGAACTTCTAATAACTAACAACAAGTTACTCGTATTATGTCCATTCAGGAAATTTTGCTTTCCTTAGAAACTGTGTATTTAACCTTACAGGATATATATCTGTTTCGTTCAACCCGCTCAGAAAGTAATTTTTCATCCTAAATGCTCTTTGACACCTCAAGATGAGGAGAATTTTCAACTGGCCACATACAATATACATATATAAATCCTGACTCTTAAAATATGCTTGTCCTCTGGTGGTTCAGCGGCATACTTAAGATTTTATAACACTAAAATTGTGGTTCGATCCCCTCAGTGAGCAAATTGCAAATAGAACATTGTACAGCATTATGCTGTTCAATAAACAAACAATAAATTTCAAGAGGAATATTAATAAAATAATATTCGGAGAAAAATAATATCTAAATAGCACAGACCGATAAAGTTATGTCATCGGATTGAAAGCACCCTCAATAATACCGACATAACACAGACCGATAAAGTTATGTCATTGGATTGAAAGCCCCCTCAATAATACCGAAATAGCACAGACCGATAAAGTTATGTCATCCGATTGAAAGCCCCCCTCCCCCAATAATACCGAAATAGTACAGAACGATAAAGTTATGTCATCGGATTGAAAGCCCCCCAATAATACCGACATAACACAGACCGATAAAGTTATGTCATCGGATTGAAAGCCCCCTCAATAATACCGAAATAGTACAGACCGATAAAGTTATGTCATTGGATTGAAATCCCCCCCCCCCAATAATACTGAAATAGTACAGACCGATAAAGTTTATGTCATCCGATTGAAAGCCCCCCCCCCAATAATACCGAAATAGCACAAATCGATAAAGTTATGTCATTGGATTGAAAGCCCCCCAATGATACCGAAATAGTACAGGCCGATAAAGTTTATGTCATCCGATTGAAAGCTCTCCAGTGGCACAGCGGTATGTCTGCGGACTTACAACGCTAGAAATCGAGTTTCGATACCCGAGGTGGGCAGAGCACAGATAGCCCATTGCATAGCTTTGCGCTTAAGAACAAACAACAACATCCGACTGAAATTCTAAACTGTAAGATTTTAATTCCTTTATAGTCCAATATGTTATTCAGGACTACTTATTAGCAGTGACGTCTAAAGATAACAGATTATGACTGCCGTTAAAACAAAACGTTGTAGTTTGTTTTTTGCTAAAATTGTTGACTATTCTTCGACTATATAGATCACATTTTCTACGTAGTAAACTGCTATTGATAAAAAAAATACGATTTTTAAAGAGCTCTGTTTCCAATTGTTTGGATAAATAAAGCTATAATACAGATCATTGAACAAACCTTTCTAAATAAATACAGAAACAACATTATCACATTTCTTGGATGACCCCTTTTTAAATGAGTGAAACTCAATCGGAATTTGAATATTTAAATGATTGAAACTGAGTCGAAAATGTTGCAACTATCTCAAACGAATTAACATATTTTTTTCTTTCAAACAGATAATTAAATTGAGAAGAAAAAAAAATTGTTAGAAAAAAAGAAAGAAAAAAAAACGTTTACACAAATCCGACCTCAATTTTCTAGGGAGCAACATGTGATTTTTGTAGTTAATTAGCGAGCAATTTGTGATGCGTACATCAAATTCAACAATAATTTTATTTATATTATTGAAAGTAAGCTCGATGAATGCTGTGAATGCCTTGAACTCATCATCATTATTATTGTTGCTAGAAAATATTCTGAGTGGTTAAATTATGATGCATTAAACAATATGAATTATATTGTAAAACAACATCGGACTCGTGCAAGTCAATTGTTTCGAAATGAAATATTCGCTACTGAATGTTTTTGTTTCAATTTTCTTAGAGAATAGGCGAAAAATATCCGCCGGAGTATTGGGAAGCTTGTTGTTCATTGCAATTATAATATCAACAATAGTGTACAGGTGAGTTGATTCAATTTGTATTTAATTCTAAACGAAATAAGACAACAGTGACTACACAAACATTACTGGGTTAACTGCGTCTCTCTCTCTCTCTTTTTCATCAAAATTTAATAACTCGTACACGAAACAGGAAAAAAAAAACAACTGTGAAAAAAAAAATACGTATTAATTATAAAGGTTTCATATCCTCAACTTTTAAACCTGATTATATTTGTATGTAATTCATATTTTAACGGTCAAATATGACTGTAAAAATGGTTTTAACAGAACACCTGCGAAGCTGGGATTGCAGTTTAACTTAATCAAACAATCTATTTAATACGGAAAGACTCCAGATAATGGAAAGCTCTCGCGACAACGAAAGGATAGGTAACGCGCGTGGATTTTTTCCCTTTGATTAACTTTATTGTGATATTGACAGTATATACGATTTACGAACAGTATAATTATAATTTCAACAAATCTCATTTTAAGGTTTGCCCACCATACGTTTAATGCAAACAATTTAAATTAGTAAAAAAATCTGAGAATTATGCTCGTGTGAAGATTTGTTTTCAGTATTTTGTTGAAACCATAAGTATCTGAATCAAACTGAATCATTTCTATTTCTCAGGGCTGCCCCCCCCCCCCAGTGGCACAGCAGTATGTCTGCCGACTTACAACGCTAGAAACCGGGTTTCGATACCCGTGGTGGGCAGAGCACAGATAGCCCATTTTGTAGCTTTGTGCTTAATTACAAACTAACAAACAATTCTCGGGGCTACTACTACTAATGCTACAGGCCGATCTTGGCCAACTGACGATGGTGTCGGACTATGGATTTGAGGATCCATGTTCGTGTCTCGTTACTGCCAAACGAAAAAAATCGCGTTCTCACTTTGTAGCCGTGTGTCCGCTAAATGAGTGACTATCAGATTTTATTCTTCGGGTCAGACAAGTGTAGCCCAAAAGTTGGCGGTGGGTGTTGTTGATTAGGCACCTTCCATCTTGTCTATAAGTTCAGTCAGATTAGGGACGTGTTTGCGCAGATAGTCTTTAAGTATGTAGTTTTAGAGATTCTTTTCTCAATATAGATAATCGAACGTTCTGGAAATATCGACAATTGAGATATAAAGTAACGATAATAACCTTGAATACGATGACCTCTCCTTGACCTGAAATGACTGTTTAAGAATAATAGTATTATGAAAAGTGCTGGATATTATATACGAAAAACAATAGCTAACTAGCAGTGTGGTGATATTATAAGAATTAGTACTCCAATTTAAGTATAATAATATGTCTTATGGTAAAAATTACATTAACCGGATATTTTATTACGGAACTGTATAAAAAAAATAGCATTTCAATTTCATCTTCTTTCTCCCACAAGTCACTGCCCAAGAGGCCTTTCGGTAAATACCATAACTCCTCAGTTAGGCTGGGCAATGAAAGGCAAAAGATTCTCTGAAACGCTGTTTATATACGCAGTGTAATACTTTAAAAGTTACGCTTTAAACACCGAAAGCTGACGAAATATTAGACAATAATATGGGCCTAAAAATTGCAGTTGGGCAAATTAAAAAAGAATGTGAGAAAAAAAAACCATCTGTAGTTAAGGTAATTTTTTTATCACAAATTTTAGTCCTAATGGCTTTTAGCGCATCATAACAAGTAGTTTAAAATAAAAAAATTAGAAAACACAACTTAAGTTTTTCGGTATTTTCTTTTAAATTGCGTAACTGACTTTTGATAAAAACAATAACTAACAGTTAATATATCACGTGCGATCTTCGATTAACCATTTACATTTTTCCATGAAGATTTACAATTTTTTCCCCATTTTTTTGTCGTATGAGAGAACCATTTACTTGCCCTAGACTTTGATGGTTAACGTCTTGATCATGTATTGTTTACTGGTACCAATTATAACTGATAAGTTTTACATAAAAAAGTAAAATAAATAAGTATTTTATTTCAAGTTCTAACATAAAAACCAAAAGTAACATCAACACAATTTCTATCAGAATGTGTTTTTTGTATCCATAGCGGTGCTATTGAATACCGTAAGAAATCGCTTCATATCACTTATAATACTAATATAAATTTATTAATACCTATTACTTTATGTGTGTGTAAAACGAATATTTTACAAATAATTACAAAAGCATGCTCATAGTTTCCATAAGTGTCCGATTCTGTTGCCTTAACATTTTTTTGTTCTTTCTTGTTTTGACAATGCATTTAAAAGCATATTTTGAGATTAAATAAAAAAATGAGCAGACCAATCAAATTTAAGAAAAAAAATTAATTAATTTCTTTTGCGCTTTCTCTCTCTATATATATTATTAATTCATTGGATAGTATATTCTGTATTCACGTGAACTTTGAAATTATTTTGGTGTAGAAATTGGGTATACGAGCAGAAGATTGCGGGATTACTGTGGAAATTGGACATCAAAGACCTGGAGTTCCATGGACTAAATGGGCACGGTTGTTCCTCAAGTAGTCGGGTAAGAATGTATCATCGTAACTAAGATAATAAACAGAAATGTAGAGGATCATTTATACGTTGTGGAAATGTGTTTCGGGATAGTTCTAGTACTACGTCCAGGTCATAAACAAAGGTTTTCGTCCCACACATAAAAGTAGATTGTCTTGACCTTATCTGTGGAATGATGGATGATGGACAAGATAATTAAACAATGTAAAATAAATGTTTCGAAGGAGGAAGTCTTTAATGTTTATCATGGAAACGGGAGAACTGAACATCAGAGAATTTAGGACAGTAATAACTTTTGAAATCCCACCAAAATCTAATCAAGACTTGCTAAAAGGACACCCGAAGCTAAGTGAGACTTACTGAAACCACATTCGAAGTTAATAAGGATCTAGTAAATCCCCACTCCAAACTAATCAGGACTTACTGAAACAACTTCCAAGCTAATCAGGATCTACTAAAACCACACTCCAAACTGATCAGGACTTACTGAAACAACTTCCAAGCTAATCAGGATATACTAAAACCACACTCCAAACTAATCAGGTCTTACTGAAACAACTTCCAAGCTAATCAGGATCTATTAAAACCACACTCCAAATTAATCAGGACTTACTGAAACAACTTTCAAGCTAATCAGGATCTACTAAAACCACACTCCAAACTAATCAGGACCAACTGAAACAACTTCCAAGCTAATCAGGATCTATTAAAACCACACTCCAAACTAATCAGGACCAACTGAAACAACTTCCAAGCTAATCAGGATCTACTAAAACCACACTCCAAACTAATCAGGACTTACTGAAACAACTTCCAAACTAATCAGGATCTACTAAAACCACACTCCAAACTAATCAGGACCAACTGAAATCACACTCAAAATTAATCAGCACCTACTGAAACTTCACCACAGCTAATCAGGACTTACTGAAAGGACACCCCAAGCTAATCAGGATCTACTAAAACCACACCCCAAGCTAATCAGGACCAACTGAAACTAAACCCCAAGTTAAGTGAGACCTATTGAAACCACACCCCAGCTAATCAGGGCCTACTGAAATCACACCGGAAACTAACCCGGATTTACTTAAACCATATTCCAAACTAATCCGGATTTACTAAAAAGTAAAGAAATAGTTATAAAAGAAAGACCTTCGACCATAAAAAAGCCAGGCACATCTTCTGCTACTGTTAACAGGATATAAAAAAATTGAAGATCTCTCAATACAAAAATTCATAATCCTTTAGTAATAATTCCTTTGAAACGGCTGTTTTAATAGACAAAAGAAATTAGAATCCATTCGATCACATACCTATCACGCTTTCATATGCAGCTCTGCTTAAGACATCAGGAAGTGTGTGAAAAGTTACACAAAATAAATTGGAGAGCAATGACTTGTCAGCTTTCCAAAGAAGCTTAATATAATGAAAACATCGTTGTGGGGCCAATGTTAAGAAA